GCGCCCTCCAGCCCGTCGAGTGCTGCGAGCCCCAGGCTCCCCGCGCCCCGACCTCCGGAGACGGCACTGTTTCAGAAATCAAGATCTCGATTTAATGGTGTAACTTCTCTCCGTGTACTGCATGGAGCTTCCCTTCTCACCTGCCTCCTGCGTGAGAGATGCAGGATTCCTGGGGGCTCATCTCCCCCCTTCCAGGGCCACAGGCACCTTCCTTGTTCCAAAGAGCAAGGAGGCAGGTGCCCTCTCACAACCTGATGTGATCCAATAAAGCATCAGACATTAGGAGGAAGATGACTTAGACCGGGGCATGCACGAAGCTCCCACCCTCGACGTTGTGCTATGACACGAGCTTCAATTCCACGATGCCTTGTGTGGAACGGGCCCTTGGCACCAGGAAGGTGCAAGCCCAACAGACACCGAGGAGCACTGTGTTATTACCAGGTGCAAAATGGCTTATTTAGGGCTGGATGGATCTATCGGACCTGAAGGGCCAGCTCCTGACCAGGCATGCTGGGGGCAGGGTTCACATGAAAGGGCCACTTTACAGAAGGAAGAGGCTTTGCAAAGCAGAGGTGATCTCCAAGGAAGGCAGTGTGCGTGTGTGGGTCACAGCACTGCCACCCTGCACGGAACAAGAGCTCTAGGTGTATCTATGGCTGGCATCACGGCCTTCCTTCCTACCCCCGCAATGCCTGCTCCTGTTGAGTGCCTGGAAGTAGAGTAGTTGAACAAGCCAATTGGTCATGGCCAATTTTTGGCTGAAGTCTAAGCAGAGAGTGGAGTGGGGCAGAGGCAACCAGAGTAGATGAAAGTATCTGGGTTTGCTTGAATATCCCTTTAAAACAAAGCTAGAGGTAGTGGGAAGACCTGGCTGCTGCTCCTGCTGCCTCAGACGTCTGTGCCCAACAGAGCTCATGAGAGGGTTGAGACACTTAGAGAAGTGATGTGTGTGAAGTGCTGGAGCTCCTTTGCTGGAGAGGGAAGAGTGGGTCCTGGACAGGGTCTGTGGCACCCGCTGCCAGGTGACGGGACTCATGCCGAAAACGCCGGACGCTGACACTTGTAAAGGCACTCGGGTCCATCGGCTCCTGCCGGCTGGTACTCGAACCAAGAGGCGGGACACATCTGGCCAGTAGATAACCCCTCTCCTGAAAGTGTTACCCTCGTTAGCTGAAAACACCCCGCTGAAGCAGAGCTTTAGGCTATTGCCCCATTCTCGGACGTGCCTGCTGACCTACCCCGTGCCGAGAAAAGGGGGTGTCCTAGACGTGTGGTCCCCGGGGCCGCGGCGAGGGAGGCTGGAGGCGGCCCCTCTTCGCCGCACCGCCGCCCACCTGTCAGGAAGAAAAAG